ACTATATAGCATTGATAGCAATACTCATCAGTGTTGCTATAGCCATACCTGCAGTGTAGGGTTGACATGTTGGTGTTTCAATGGTGATGCAACCCTACAGGGGCTTGTTTGAATTCCTTTTATACTTTCAAACCAGCAACCCTACAGGGGCTTGTTTGAATTCATTTCATAGGTTCAAATCCAATAGAGGCTCAACCCTACACTAAATAATTTAAAAAATTTTTTTGTTTTAGTGATAAACGTGCAGCCATAATTGTGGCTGCTACTAGAGTTATTGGCAATGGTACCGGTAATATTGAGAATGGCAAATTGCCAGTTATTGGCAGTTAAAAAGTTGGCTATTGCCAGTGATCACAATTTAATCTTCAAGACCAAATTAAAGCACAATACAGTAATTAAAATTAGAGCCAGTAGTCGAACAAATGAATCCACTGTAATAATTAATTGCCAAAATTATATACATTCCTTACATCATTACAGGTATTGAAACTAATGTTGACGGCATTGAAGAGGTCAATACATTTGAGAGGCCTGCTTTAAAAATAGGTAATACTTTAACTCAAGTCAAATTAATTTAATTATCATTGTTTATGTGTAGATGCAACTAATCCCCTAGATTCAACAAAGAACAGGATTATTGATGTATCAAAAATTGGTAATACATAGTTCATATACAAATCCCTAATTACTTGCTTTCTCATATACTAGACACGAATGCAATGAGAACTATCAAAGAGCTCCTCCAAGAAGAAAAAATTTCAAAAGATATCAACATACTAGTAATTGGAAGAACAGGTCAAGGAAAGTCTGCACTAGTCAATAGCCTCATTGAGCTGGGAGAAGAAATTGTGGCTGAGGGAGCACTTACTGGCTGCTGTACAACAACATCACAGTCTTACACCTACCCAAACATCATTCCTGGTGTTAGTGTCACAATAATTGACACTCCTGGTCTACAAGATAATCAAGACAAAGAGCATAAATACATTCAAGAAATGAAGAATGAGTGTAGTGAGATCAGTTTGGTCCTCTACTGCATGAAGATGACAAATCATAAATTCACAAATGATGACAAAGTTGCCATAAAGAAGTTCCATCACGTGTTTGGTCAAAAATTTTGGGAGAGAGTGGTGTTTGTCCTTACCTTAGCAAATAGCGAGTTCCTAAAAAAATGGGATGACAGAGATCAAGACGATAAAAGCAGAGAACCTAAAAAAAATGAAACAGGTGCTTGGGAAAGGTTAAAGAAAGAACGACTGACTGGTAGAGTTCAACATCGTAAGGAACAATTAAATACATTTGTCACTGAACTCCTACAATTGAAACATAAGTCAGAGCAGAGTCAAGATGTAGCCCAGACTATAACATTTGAAGCTCTTCCAGCTGGATATTATGACCCTGAATATGATAATAATCTTCGTGGCATCAACTGGCAGCGTGATCTTATTGCTTTTTGTTGCAAAACAATAAAACATAAGCATAAATTATCAAAATTAAAAATGAACAAAAGTAAGATAAATATAATTCCTTGCATTTACATTTTAGTACAACCCTTATAGAGATTGCTTTAGCTGTTATTATTGACAATCATGGAGATGCCAAGGTGGAGAATGTTGAAGCTGCAGCTCTCACAAAAGCTTTTGAAAATCTTGAGTTTGCTGTTCTTTACTTCAACAGCCTCTCCTCAAAATCAATAGCTACTTTGCTTGAAGCAATAAGCAAAGCTGATTATTCACAATTATTGATGATAACTCTAGTATTTTTTAGTAAAGGGAAGACACCTGAGCTTTATGATGCTGATGGTGTGGTGGTGCCTTACGAAGATGTGTTTTGCCACTTTCAAAAAAGACGCCCAATACCAGTTATATTCTTTTTTGATTCAGCAAGTAATGATGATGAGATACATCTACAAAAAGACATTGATTCCACACTTGATGATGCAAATGAAAGTCATTCGACAGTAGCTGATACACAGAATGACAATGATTTCAATTTGCCACTACGTATTTGCCCCCAAAATTCTTTAGTTCTTGTGGCTAGACACAATTCAGCATCATCTCCTGTAGTGAAAGAGTTCACAGAAAAGCTGAGCCACACCAGTGTCCAAGAATGCTTTGAAACAATATGTGCTAATAATAATAGCACTACTGTGAAAAGCATATGGCATGACACTGTTGGGGATAACTTATTTATTGTCAAATCAATCAATGACAGGTAATAAAGTCATATTTTATTTGAAGTTATCTGAAGTTATTTTTCTAGTGTTGAGACTCTTGAACAAAAACTGGAAGTATATCATTCAATATGGTACCCAATTCGTTGCAAGACAATAGACAGGATTGAAGAAAGCAAAGAAGAAATCATGAGAATAGTAAATAGAGAAAGGGAAGCTCGATTAGCAACTACTGTTTCTGGCATGGTAGCAAGTAGTGGTCTAGTTATTACTGGAATAGCTCTAGCTCCAATCACGTTTGGTGGGTCTCTTGCTATATCTGCACTAGGTGGTGTTGTGGGGGCGGCTATGGCTGGTGCAGGGATTGGTGCTTCCATTGTTGCAAAAGTTCGTAATAACAAAAAATTAAAGAAAGCACAAGAGCATATCTACCTTGATCAACAGATTAGCTTGATGATTAATGAAGATGCTTATAAATATAATAAAAAAATGCCACAACATATGTCTCATGTACCAAAGTCTGCTGCAACAAGTGCTTTACAAGGCGGAGCAGCTATTGGTCGAGGTGCAGCTGCAGGTGTTGCAATAGGTCTAGAGGGTGCAGTAGAAGCAGCTGCAGCTGCCTTTCGTGTTACTGGTCGTGTTGCTGGAGCAGCTTTAGCTGGGGCCTCATTAGCTGTAACAATACCAATCGATATTGGTATGGTTGCATATCATAGCTATCACATTCACAAATCAAAAAAGGATCCAACAGGGAAGAATGCCAGTAGTGAAGCAGTGAAGATATTATATAACCAATTAGAAACATTATTCAAAGGTAGAATAAATATGATAGAAGTTTTTTATAAATGTATTTACACATATATACATGTAGGTATGTGTCATGCAATCAATGAAGTTGAGCGTGAAGTTCAATCAGAGACAAATGTTCTTAAAGATGATGAGTATGGTTATGAAATTCATGTGCCAGTAAAAGAAAATAAAAAGCTGGCAGTCACAGTTCGCACTCTCTTCTCTGGTCCATTTGTCTATCCTCATGGGTATACTCTTGTAAGTGCTGTATATGATATCACAATGCCAGAGCTACCTCAACCAGCAACCATTAAGCTGGAGCATTGTGTTGATGAATCTGATCAGACTAGATCAGATTTGTGCTTTGCTATTGGCAGCGTTGACTTGAAGGAAAAAAAGATAATTTTTGAAAAAGTGGATCAAGAGTGTGAATCAATTCAACGGACAAGCAGTTGTCTCTTATGCATATTGTACAGGAGAGCAATGTACATGTAAGTAGTATTACTAGCAAAATTTTTATTAATTCTTTCAGGCAAGACAAAACTTCAGTCAATTATGTTGCTCAATGTTTTTATGAGAAAAAGTACAAGAACTTTTGGACTCTGAATATTGTTTTTACAAAGTTCCTTTATGCTAACTTGAAGGTATTTTATAATTAAAATGAATAAAATACTCTTGTTTTCTATCCTAGTATGTTCAAAGTAGATTTAGTCTTCAAGGCTCATACTTTCCATTTGTTTTTGATTCTTCTGTGCTTTCTCTTGATCTAACTTGCTTTAAAGTTACAAATGAGTTCTCAGGCTGGATCATATCACCAAATGATAGTGAAGAAATGCCAGACACAGTTAGTAATGATACATACTGTCATGCAATCATTATGATACATGCATGTAGATATCGATACAAGAAATCGACACTGCTGAATTGAGGGAAGGGAGTGCCAAAGTGCTAAAAAATGCATTTCCCTCCATCAGTTTGTATGTCTACATTTTAAATGAAGAAACTGCTGCTAAGGACATAGATGAACCATTTAAAATTGGAGGAACAAGCTTAAGCATTAATATTAAGCAACACAAAGAATAGACTTGATTTTTAAAACATTATAGTGTACATGTAACTGTGTGAATTAAATGATAGAACTGGTAGCTGATTAGTTAGTGACGTGTTATTTTAATTATAAATCAACTATTATAGCAGTGGAGCTTACAAATATGGGGACACACAAACTATGGCATCAATTATACTACTAGAGGGCTTTCTCACTTATACACTACATGTACATGCACTCAAGATAATGGTTAAAAGTGGTAATGTTTATGTGCATGCATGTGCATTACATGGGACTGGGAGTACATACAGGTAATAATATCAGTAGTTCTAATACATACATTATATTGTATATACCTTTAATCCTTTATCCTTCATTGTATCATTATTTCCTTTATCTGAACTATTCTGAAGAGACTAAAAAATGAAATTTATTTAACCGTCAAATTGAATAGTTTATGTACTACAAGAAACATTTAAATTGCACTTTTTGACTTACAGCCTTCTCAGAGTCTGGTTGTTCTTGTTCTCTTGCTAGTTGTAATGGGGTCAGTCCTAGCGTTGATACTTGTGGGTCCATCCCACAATACAATAACTTTAGTATTAGCCATGTACGAGCAGCATCATCTTTACCATGATCTAAACATACCTGCAATAATACACAATGATATTAATAAAAGGGTCTGTTCAGCTATACATGTACGTACACTGTATATAATATATACATGTATATGTAGATGTAAAACTGAATTCCCAAAAAAGGAGTTTGAAGCACGGTTGTCTCATGCATAGCTATGGCAATAACATTAAATTAAAGAAACAATGAAATTATAAACAGTTCTCTTTGAAAATAGTAGTAGTACTACTACTACATTACATTTATGTACATGTAAATGTAATGCATGTGTCACTAATATACACTGTACCTGGTAGTTATGGTCACAACTGGTAGTCCTTCAATGAGGAATGGCTTGGAGCACTTTCTGAAATCTCTCCACCACTTCTAAGAAAGAAGCCCAATAATTCTATTCAAATAAAAATTAAGTTTAAGAGAGCTTAAAAATAATGCTCACCCAGAGAAACCTCATCATGTGACTATCATGTGATTACAGTATATATGTACATCGACAAGTGATTCCTGTTCTGTGGTCTCCACTTACAGAATAAAGTGCATTAACTTACTGAGTATGATTATTTACAATGAGCTGTCAGTGTATCATATACCTGTACAATAGATAGGAACAAATACCGTATAGCGGAAAATTTTTGTGGCCCAAAATTTTCGTGGATCCATCCAAAAATCAATTTCGTGGGTTTAATTTTTGTGGTTTTCTACAATTCGGCCATCTTAAACCGTATAAAATTGATTTTCGCGGATTTTATTTTCGTGGATTTTGAAAAAACGCGAAATCCACAAAAATTTTGGGCCATGAAAATTTTCCGCTATACGGTAACAGCACTGCATGTCAAATATGAGGTCAATCAAAATAGTGTACTAAACAGTACTATAGAGACTGAACCATTCAATGTTAAATCAGACTTGTATGGGTATGTGGCCATCATGACCACAATGGGATCAGGCAGGTCCTTTGTTTGATTTAAGAAACAATATTAATGTACTGTAGGTAAGAAAAATAGATATTTGTAAATTAATAATCATTTAAATAATAATAATTATGCACAAAAATAATAGTAAAAATTAATATCACAAGTTAATTAATACTATTAATTAATAGCATTATAATCACAATCTTTGTCAATTTTCATGTTACACAGTTATGTCCACAACCAGATGGACACCAGCTGTTAGTACTGAACCATTCCTTCAAATGAGACATGTGGCCACCGTGACCACACACCTCACACATTGAGTATAATCCTTTAACAGGAGCATGACTAAGAAGGAGACAGAGGAAGAAAAGAGAAAAAACAAATTAAGACAAAGAGCCATAGCACTAATAAAAAATAAAAACTTCAAAAAGAAGTTTTAGTATCTTCTCTCACTTCAGTAATTTGGAAATTCATAAAACATCTAATTTTGATTGGAATCAGCTTAAATTCATATGCAACAAAAGGACATGTAACAATGTATAATAATTATACATAGGAAAATGTAATAAAAATTGAGAACTCTCTCCTTGCCATTTTTGATGAAATTTGGCCAATGACCTACTGGGATTACCCTCCAGAATGAGATCAATAGATTCTAATGACTTCTGTAGAGCCATATCTGAAGCTCACCTCACCCTAACCTAACTTATTCATTTTATCTTATTTGTTATTATTTTCCATTATTATGCTCTTTATTTTCTCATTTCCTAACCTCCTATGTATCCTTGCCTTATATTTATCTTTTTAATGTTTATTTAAGGGCTCAGTTCCCACCTACACTGTACTATAAGTGACTTTGGTTCAATTTTTGAGAAACTGAAAAAATTCGTAAAAAATCCAAACTCAATTGGACTTAGCTCAAACTTTCTACACAACATAATACATGTATATTTATCAAAAAATGTAATAAAAATTGAGAATTCTCTCCTTGTCATTTTTGATGAAAGTTGGCCAATGACCATGTACTATAGTACAGGGACTTTGACCTGGTTTTTGAGAAACTTAAAAAATTCGTAAAAAATCCTAACTTGATCAGACTTAGCTCAAACTTTCTACATAACATAAGTACATGTATACCGTATAGCCAAAAAATTTCGTGAGGAATAAATTTTCGTATTTTCGTGATTACTGCTTGCATCACGAAAAATTAAACCCCTGAAAATAAATATTAATTGAGAGGCGTGGTTAACCACGCCTTAGACTAATAAACGTGCCCTCGTGTCAAGTCGTGTTCTCGGTCAAGCTGATGTCTCTGTTACTCTGTATTGCTATTTTAAGCATACTGCCTAGGTCAAAGATGATCTTCCCCATCTCTGGTGTCCACACTGATTTGTAGACATGGTGCTCCTTGACACAAGAGTCCGTCTCAAACCATGTTTTAATTAAATAAGGCGTGGTCATTATTATTATTAAAATAAAATCACGAAAATATTTATCACGGAATTTAAAATTTCTCCATAAATTTCATTATTCACGAAATTTTAAGCCTCGAAAATTTTTGGCTATACGGTATATGCATTAGAAAAAAATATAAAAATGAAGAATTCTTTTCTTGCCATTTTTGATGAAATTTGGTCAACGACTATGTACAGGGACTTTGACACGATTTTTGAGAAACTTCAAAAAATTTGTAAAAATTTTAAACTCAATCGGACTTAGCTCAAACTTTCAACGTAACATAAGTACATGTATATGCATT